CTCTCTCTCTCTCTCCCTCCTTGCTTTGGTTTGGTTTGGCTTGTTTCCCAAGACCTCTGTCACAGTCATGTCGCAGAACTCCCCCGCCACAAGCCTTCATGGCTCGCCAACGAAATCAGATGCCTCGACGCTCCTGCTCTGTGATCACTTGGACGTCTTGGACGTAGCGCAGGTGCCTGAGCATGTGGCAGAGCCGCAGGTGATTGTCAACACGGTGAGTCAAAAGGTGACGGGGGTTGTCACTACACCGGATCGCAAATGTGGGCCGACACCGTGTGCTTCGCCTACTACGCCAAATCTCACAAGTGGATTGACGCCGCTCATGAGCAAATTGCTTGTGAGCACTCCCCCTGCCCGCGGGCAGAAGCGTGGCCTCATCACTACGCCCGAGACGACGAAGCCTCCAACCACTCCACAGCCAGTCAAGAGACTGCGGCGCACAGTGCTCCTCGGTGAGTCTGTGAAGAGCGTTTGCAGTTCTACTTATACGTTGCAAATTCGTTTCGTGTTCTTGAAAGGTTATTTGGGTTCAGTCCACATCCTATTGTAGTTATAGCCAGTATTATAGCCTAGCTATAGAGGCTACAGAAGACAGTCCCAGGCAGAGCTTGCTGGACTCACCAGTTGTGCCCTTGCAGAAGCGCTTGCAAGAGGCAGGGGAGAAGCGCCTCGCAGCGGAAGCTGCCGAGTCCCTGGGCAAGAGTGAGAAGAGCAGCAGCAGCGGAACCCGCCAAGTCCCTGGGCAAGAGTGAGAAGAGCAGCAGCTCGTGCACAGAGTTTTTGGTTTCAGCCTAGAACCGGATTCGATCCGGTGCAGCTCTTTTATCAAGGGCTCTCCTGACGTCAGAGCTCGCTGGTCGGAAAACATTCAATGTCCGTGTTCCAGGCTTTGCCCAGCCCGATACCACAATCCGGAAATCTCGAAAAGAGAACCCTTCCTTTGATGCCTTATATAGCGGCAATGCCTGCAGCAGGTGCCGACCCACAGTGCTCCCGCTGCGGCGCCAGCTCCGCCAAGCGACAGTGCTGCATCGCCTCCCGCGATCGATCCGAAGTCGAACCCGACCCCGCTGGAAGTGCCCCAGGGAACCCCTGCAACCGAAGCCCCGGTGCCGAAGGCAACCCCTTTGCAAGCCCCGGTGCCCGAAGCGACTCCGAAGGCAACCCCGTTGCCTGATCAAGCCCCGGTGCCCATTGCGACTCCGAAGGCAACGCCGTTGCCTGATCAAGCGAAAGCAACCCCATTGCCTGATCAAGCCCCGGTGCATAGCACGACTCCGAAGGCAACCCCCTTGCCTGATCAAGCCCCGGTGCCTAGCACGATCCCGACAGGAAACCTGCCACCGACTCCGAAAGCAAGCCTGTCGCCTGCAGAACCAAAAGCCAAGAACAGTGATGCCGCAGCGCCTCCTGCTGCTTCGAAGTCTCCAAGTGCTCCTTGTCCATATAATGTTATCAGAGGTGGTTGCGACCGCACAGGTTCAGGTTCGTGGTTGTCCGGAGCAGGATTCGTTTGCACTGGGTGTTTCCTAGGGTTCTTTATACGAGTCTTATTGGTTTCGGGTTTAGGGGTTTAGGCTTTAGAGTTTCCGTTTCTCAGTCCTTGTTGTAGTCGTAGCAGCAGTAGTAGTAATGTGTAGTAGTAGCAGTAGTAGCAGTAGTAGTAGTAGTAGTAGTAGTAGTAGTAGTAGTAGTAGTAGTGGTAGTAGCAGTAGCAGTAGCAGCAGTAGTGCTATAGGGGGATACTACTACAAGCCGATACAGCCCCAGATGTCCTCCAAGCACGTCCTAGCAGGCTTGTCCTAAACCCCAAACCCTGTACCCTAAACGCCTAAACCTTACACCCTAAACCTTATCTATGCTGGAACCCCTGGTCAACATGAAATTTGAAGTACATAGTTTTCGGCGTATGGGTCCGTGTTGCGTGAGATTTTACTACATACACCCCTGGCCGTGTACTCCTACCCTGAAACCTTAAATCCCCAACTCGAGCAGCATACCGAACGAGCCCTGTATGTTCTTGCTCATGCAATCAATCAGCCTGCCATCAAAAAGAACCTATAAACCCCAAGCCCTCATACCTCGAATGTTGCAGGGATACTTTGTACAATCCCGAACACATCAAGTGGCAAAAAAAAACCCAAGCTGTCGTGAAGGAAGTGGCAATGCCGCCGACGAAGTCGACGTGATGCCCCGTGCGCGATCAGTCCTGTGAAGCTACAGCATTTTGATTCCTTCGTCAGCCTAGAAGTCTGAGCTTGCCGTTTTGTTGGAGAGCAGGGTTGGACTGACTAGTTTGGGGTACGGCTAGCAGCCCAGCAACCATCTTCAATCAATAACTGACATTTGCTTCATGGTACGCCCAGCATCCACCTTGCATTGCTAGCGTCAGAGCACTAGGCTGACGGATAGGATCCGCCTGGCTACATCACGAGGATTGAGTTCTCCGTTTTGGATTAATAACAGGCCTCTCCGCATCCTCCATCGACCTGTAATGTTCGCACAGCACACAAGCGAAAGCTACAGCTAGGGACTTTTCAGAGAGTCGGACACGGCCGATAGCTAGGACGGGCACACGTGCAGAGTCTTACTTGCTCAGCACAAAGCAGACAAAAAAGGTGCGGAGGTCAGCTCAAAGCCCACGGACCTTTCCTCTGTGTTCTCGGACTCTTACGTACACAGCTCCCCTTCGCTCAGTCCTTGGCCAAGCCCTCCGAGCACAGTGCGAAGTTCACTGCGCAGAGAGCGGGCCCACTGGAGACGGGGCCCTAGTGTGAAGCTTTCCGGAATCTTGTTGACCGGTTCAGGGGTTTAGGTTTTTAGGATTGCTGTAAGTTTCCCGGGTGGTGTGTTTGGGACGTTTAGGTTTTCCGTTTCAGCACGTAGTGGGTAGCGAGGGGGAGTTTTGCCGGCTTGGAGGCCTCAGGGTCGGGTTGCTTTTGTCCATGGGACAATTAGTACTTTAGTACTCTCCAAGTAAGCAACCATCATCCCTTCATCGATCGTCGGAGCTTTGGGTGTTTGCGTTTGCAGACCTCGGCACCAAGTCCAAAACCCTTGACCCAAATTTTGAACTGAACCCTTAAACTTGAACGCTTCCTGTCGTCTGCCAGGAATGAAGAAGAAGGCAACCGAGTCCGCAAGACGAAGCACAACCTCAGGCACGTGCAGGCGGGCAGGGTAACAGGAAGAGCCTGGTGATGTTATAGCCAAAGCCTGTCGAACCCGACAGGTGATGCTGCGAGCACTCAACACAAATCTTCTCAGCTGCACGGGCCACTCTCTAGACTATTTCAAGCCCGCCCAGCAACTGGAGTATTCAACCGGTCGCATCCCGCTGCAGCCTTCTTATCCCAAAGAGCGTCCGCTGCTCAAGGGAGTGACCTGGCTAATCTCTAGGCATCTGCTCCTGCTGTTTCTCTTTTGTTTTGCTGTCGACTGGTGCCTGGAAGCAGTGTGACTTTCTCATACAGTAAGGTAGCGGATCAAGAAAAGGTCGGGGTCAAAGCCTACAAGCTCTTAGCTGGAGCCATCCGCTGCTACTTCGAACCGGACAGTGCCCATCCGAGTTGGAATGACTGCCGCGCCGCAGCTGCGTATCAGCTGCTGCTAGGTAATTCTCATATCATGATCCGACTGCTTGCGTTGTGACAGTGCTGAGAATGCTGTACTGCTGCAGGGAATGCTTTCGTGCGCGCAAAGCAGAGCATAACGATGTTGAAGGCAACCGTTCTCTCAACGACATCGCACGGCCCGTCCCAAGCCTAGCCTATGAACAGCCTTGCGCACGCTTCACAAAACAATCAGTACGACTGATGCTGCCAAGGTTCTTGTCCGGTACGACATGGTTGGGGAAGCAGGAAGCAGCTGCTCAGTACATCCGCAAGCATGCGGACGATCCTGAGAAATGGGCTGAACTAGCCGACGGCATGTGGTACGACTTGGGCTATGAGGTTGATCCTAGCGACTTGCCGGAGCGCATCCAGGAGTGGGCGGCCGCCGATGCCGTGAAAAAGAGAGGCATTTACGTGCCTCGGTCGGCTGGAGTGTCAGATCAGTAGCCACCTGGAGAAATGAAGGGAAAACCCCTCGTCCAATGCCATGCCTGACTAAGATACGGGGCAAAGGCTGGTTTGGCCTCACTGAGAGATGCCTTTCCCTCAGTCGAGAGTGGACAATCAGTGCAGAAATCATGGCAGCTTTGGCTGCCGCCCCTTGGCTTCTGTAGGAAAGGCTAGGCATCGGTTGCAGAGATGGATCTACTGACGGGGTTCAAGGAGCAGGGGTGGGGTGTGCATATCGAGTTGTAGCCACTTTGATTAATCATTATGGAGGTGGGGTGGGGGTTCGAGGAGCAGGGGTGGGGTGTGCATATCGAGTTGTAGCCACTTTGATTAATCATTATGGAGGTGGGGTGGGGGTTCAAGGAGCAGGGGTGGGGTGTGCATATCGAGTTGTAGCCACTTTGATTAATCATTATGGAGGTGGGGTGGGTGGGTGGTTGCAAGGACCAGGCTGACGAAGACTACGATGCGCAAGCGCCTCCGCAAGAAGAGGAGGACCCCGAGGAGCCTAGCACCAGGGCAGAATTCCAGGAGTGGCGCAGCAAATTCAAAAACAACGTCCAGCTGTGCGCTACTCTTTATCAAGATCGGTGCCTAGTCTGCACGCTAATCCAGCAAGCTCTGCGTGTGCTGCAGTTAGTCATTGAAATGCTGCTGCTGCTGTTGCTGCTGCCGCTGCTGCTGCTGCTGCTGCTGCTGCGTACAGCTGCCAGCCGGCCCCACATGTCCACACAGCAAAGGCATCTCCAGCTGCGAATCAAGATGCTGGCGCTCTGCAGCGAGGATGTGTCCAAAGAGTTCTACAAGAGTCTGGAAGAGCAAAAGAAGGGGCAGGCCCTCGGCATTTCTTTCACGTAGTAGCAAGTCCCGAGAGTTAGACCCTTCGAATCCTGCTGCCAATCGATGAAGAAACCACAGAAGGAGAAGCAGCTGGAGTGGACCGCCGCCAGAAGTGCTGGCTCCTGGTTCCGCACCGTCCAGTCTACTTTGAACAAAATCCATTCTACGAAATTCTTGCAGGAGCTGACGGTGAGTGTTTGGCATGGACACAGGCCTGCTACAATGGATGAAGAATGGGTTCAAAGAGATGCCGCCATCTTGGGGGAAGCATGGCTTGTGCTTCTTGAGCTGGCTGCAGCCAGGACCTCGGGACAGGCTAGAAGCTTAAGCGTTGTCAAATCCACAAGTTTCCCTCTCAACTCTCCTCGCGTAGGACCTGGTCGCAAGTAATGTTCAGCTACGCCCCACCATACTTGCTGGCGACGGTCTTTGGTGACAGTGCTGCAGCTGGGCACTGGTCAATGGAATGGCTTCAACGTCTCGACACTGGTCTTGCAGTCGCCCAGCGAATTCGGAGGACTTCGCCTGATACGCCGGTTGCAACCGCCCTCAAAGGCCTTCTACGTGACTTGTGGTGGCATACCACTCCGCTTTGCCTTGAACTTTTACAATGCGCACGGGACGCCCACTACAACAAGGATGATGCGAATCTACGTGTCCTGAGCTTTGGCATGTATGCCGGCCCCAGCAACACGAAACACAGCGCCGAGGACGTGTTTGCCCATTTATCTCATATTCAGCAAAGGTCACAGAAGGGCCTGCAGAGAATGAGTAAGCCGCTGGAATCGAGTTTGATTACGGCTTTATTGCTTACGCAAGTATTCATGCCCTAGAGGCAGAAACCCCTACACCTGATGTAATTCTGGCCGCATGTAATGTAAAGCAAAGTTGGGGCTATGCGGCTACACATAAGACCCATGTAGCCGAGGTGGGCGAAGTATTTCTACTGCAGCTCCTGCCAGTCCACGCGACAGAATGGATACAACCACGTGGAGTGTGTGCCTTCCGACTATCTGAAGTTTACGCCAGAGGCTGACAATCGGCGGGGTCTTTACTTCGGTGCCACACAAAGCCCCAGCCAGGACCTGGAACTAAGCAGTTTCCAACAGGTTTCCTGGCTTCCAGGTTCAGTTTAGGGTTTAGGGTTTTTTGGGCTTAGGGTTTAGGGGTTTAGGGGTTTAGGGGTTTAGGGGTTTAGGGTTTAAGGTTCAGGGTTTAGGGCTTAGGGGTTTAGGCTTTTTGGGCTCAGTATCCCTAAAAGCTTCCGCTTGTGATTTGAGGTAATGTAGGGGCCTCAATATTTCCACTGGGTTTGGGAAGGTTTATAAAAAAAAGCTTGGTGGGTTGTTTTCCCGGCTCCTCCGACTGCGGTGTCAGAGACAACACAAGAATACCGGCTAGCACTGCTGATAAATGTCCTTTACTGTTTTTAGTCCCAACATTCTAATAGTGATCCGCAAACCTAGCAACAGAAAGTTGAAAGGCACTAAACCCTAAACCCTAAACCCCAAACCCCAAACCCTAAACCCTAAACCCTTAAACCCTAAACCCTAAACCCTATAAACCCTACACCCCTGAACCCTAAACCCTAAACCCTAAACCCTAAACCCCAAACCCTAAACCCTAAACCCTAAACCCTTAAACCCTAAACCCTAAACCCTAAACCCGTAGGTCAGCGAGAAGTGGGCCGTGTGTGGAACCTTGGCCGACATGCGCATGGTGGCGGCCTGCTGGACGTTGGCAGAATGCCAGGGCAACAATTTCTCAGAGCTTCCCGACTACTGGACAGGCGCCTCCTGTAACTTGTTTCACATTGACATTGATTGCGGGTTTGCCCCAACATAAAAGCCGTCCCCTGGCCCCTGCACCTCGAAACCCTCAAGGTGTCTTCCTGGCCAAAGGCTTGGTGATCTTGAAAGAAGGTGGAGAAGCGTTTCTCAGTCTGGGTTTTCGCACATATTCCGCGCTGGCCGTGCCTTTGCAGAAGCACCGCAATGAGCACGGTCTGGATCTTTACTTCCGGTTTCCCGAGCGTGAGACCACGCGACCCAGCTGGCTGACCAACACAACTGTGGATGTCAAGGACACCACGCTTCAAGCCTGCTCTGTCAAGATTCTGCCGCCTGCTTGCCTGCCAAAGGCATTGCGAGTGCACGGCTGCATACTTGTGCCGTTCAGGCCAGTCGAACCGCTAGTGAAAGCAGCACTGCGGAGCGGGCTCTTCTTGGATGTCCCTACGATCAAGAAGGTTTCAGCTGCCAACGGCGCGGATGCCCCGGTAGGCACCGGGGCCAAGAAGACAAAGAAAGGACTTCGGTCCATCATGAAGCAGGACCGCGTGGCTGCCCTGCTGAAGAAGGTATTTCCCGACATAGCTGTGGACAGCGACGAGTATGACCGCATCATGACTGCGATCATGGGCAAAGCGCCCATTGCAGCTGTCTCCGACGACATCGCTGACGAGATCCTCGAGGGCGTCAAGGCATTGGACCCTGACAATGCCCAGAAGTTTTCTGGGCTGCGGTCCGTGGCAGAGAAGTTGGACTTGGACAAGAAGTTTAAAGAAAAGCAAAGGGAAGCGGACCAGGCAGCAGGAAGAGGCAAGGGCTTCATGGGGAGAATGCAAACCTCACATGGATAGATTCCAAAGTGACATCGCTCTCTCTCTTTCCTCCGTCCTCTCTCTCTCTCTCTACTTCGGGTTTTGCGGCGTCGTGGGGATGGGTTTAGTTTTAGTTTGCCGGGCAGGACTTCTGAGGGTCTTTGTGGCCAAGGCCAAGGCGTTGAGGTGTTGTGGAGTAAGGTTGTGTATGGTGTTGGGGTTTACTCTCTCTCTCTCTCTCTCTCTCTCTCTCTCTTCTCTCTCTCTCTCTCTCTCTCACACTCTCTCGCGGCGGTTTAGACTTTAGATTGCTCTTGGAGTGTTGCGCGCGATGTGAGCCACCTGCCGAAGGACCCAGTGATGAGCCAAATCAGCCGAGGAAGCACTTCACCCCGAAAGAGCTGTGCCTGGACAGCAAAAACCCTAAACCCTACACCCTAAACCCTAAGCTTGAACCCTGCAGCTGTCGCCCTTTCGGTGTAATGAGCTCTGGGGCAGGTGTGTTCTGTTGCCCGGTGGTGGCCGCGTTGCTGAGTGATATATCCAGCGCAATCCAGCGACTACATCGTACCAAGCCTTCTACCCCAGTGCCTCCGGTTGCATTCGGCCGCAAGTTGATTCCCAAAACCTAAACTCTAAAGCCGCGACAATTATGAGGACTGAAGCTTAGACCGTAATACACCCGCTGAGCCCTTCTGTTAACAGGATTGCAACCTTTAGTATGGTAACCAGACACATCTAAGTCGACAAGAGCGCTGGCCTGGGTCCTGGCTCTCGCTTCGCCAAATGGGGCGGGGTGAAGCGCATGTTGACTGAGAAAGAGGCTTTGTACGAGGTGATCTCGAAGGTCTGGGACATGCATGAGCAGTACGGGAAGCTAACGCGGCCAGGTGACAAGAGGCCGTCACATGCTGTCGAAATGCGCCCGTGCACAAAGTGTCATGTTCAAACCCGTACGATGCCCTGATGAAACCTTGAACCCGCAAGCCAATTCGTAAGTCTGGCAGGCCCACACGTGCGGAAATCCACCAGGCAGTAGACAACATCGAGCGTGCTGATGCAGAGTCTGGCGCTGCTTCCAGCAGCAGCGTCCCTCCGGCGGCGCCTAAGGCGCCGAGCCGGCCAGTTGAATCTTCGCCGGCGCCCAAGGCGCCAAGTGCGACAGCCGCCAAGGCCAAAGCCAAGGGGGGCAGGGGCAGGGGTACTAAACGAGCGAAGACCGACGTTTGAATTCCACGCCTCCAGTGTACAGTGACATGAGCGAAGACCGACGTTTGACTTCCACGCCTCCAGTGTACAGTGACATGCCGCGAATGTGCCCGTTGGTCTGATGTGAAAGATTGTATGGGGCCCATGCGTTGGATACCTGCATCATTGAACCGTTTTGGATAAGCCGTGAACAAGCTAGTAGTTCTGTTTGGATAAGCTACGAATAGTCTACATAGTTTTCTGGATAAACCATGGATAAACCCATAGTCGTTATCCTAGCTTTATTGAAAGCTTATCCACTACTTAACCGGTAAGCTTAGGATAAGCCACGAATAAGCGCTTATTAGAGGCTTATCCTATGCTTATCCCTAGCTTATCAAATGCTTATCCAACCTAGGCTTATTCACCGCTTATCGGATAAGCCAAGGCCCCCCCCCCCGACACCCCCCCACACCACTTCATGATAAGGGGTTTAGGCTGTAGAGTTTAACGTGTCGCGTGTAGCATTTGGGATGTAATCTTTAGGGTTTAGGGTGCATCTGAGCGAGTCGAAGGAAGATGACGACAGCTTTGTTCGTTCCTGCTGCAGCACCGGAACCCCCGACAGGTGAGCCGTTGAATTCGGGCTCAAATGCTACGGGGTTTACGGTTTGGAGATGGTTAGCAAGAGCAAAATACTGCCATCTCGACGCAAGAAAGGACAATAACGATTTCGAACCCCAATGAAGTACTTTAAACCCTTAAGAATGGGGCAGTGCCCCCTCTCAGCAACAGTTGAATCATACCTATAATGTAGATCTATAAGGCCCGTAGTAGTAGCCCCATTATAGACGATTGCTGTAGTTGGACACTACCCACACGGAAAAACCCTAGTATCATTGCTCTATGGGTTGATCTGCCTGTGGGCACATATTCGTAGGGGCCCCTTACGGGGGTAAGGGGGGCGGGGGGGTGGGGGACTGCACTTCCTTAATCAAGCGTTGTTGGGTCCTTATTACGTATACTAAGGCCCCCTACCGCCTCCCCCCCCCCTCCCCCCTACCCCTTTGAGGGTCCGTATGACATATGGAGTTTGTGTGCACCGATACATGAGTTTAGTATTGAGGGCCTTGAATCTTCAGGGTTAAGAATTTCAGGGCTGAGGGCCTTAAACACTGGACTATAGGATCAACAACCGTAAACTCCAAACCCTAAACCCTAAACCCTAAGCCCTATATCCTGAACCCTAAACCCTACACCCTAAACCCTAAACCCCTAAACCCTAGCCCTAAAACAAATCCACCCCTGTAAGGAGATCAACACTTCTCCTTGCATGCTGGATGACTGCAAGGGTGACTACGAAGAGGCCAAAGCCCTGGTGGGGTTTCGGGTTTGGGGTTTAGGGTTTTAGGGTTTTAGGGTTTTAGGGTTTTAGGGATTAGGGTTTAGGGTTTAGGGTTTTAGGGTTTTAGGGATTTAGGGTTTTGGGGGTTTTGGGGCTAGCGGTTTAGGGTTTAGGGTTTTTTGGGGGGGTTTAGGGTTCGGGGTTGAGGGTTACACTGAAACCCAAAGCACAACCTAAACCCTAGACCCTGAAACCCCGAACCCTAGACCCTGAAACCAAAAACGCCCTCGAACCCGAACCCTGAAACCCTGGGCCCATAACCCTGTTGAGTTCTGACGCCTCAGCTTTATTTCCTTAAAGCCCCAGCTACTCGCTTGAACGGTAAACTAACGTCCAAAGTCCCCTAAGGTTTGGGGCTGAGGGCATAGAGTGACGTCAAGCGCGTAGAACAGGCCATGAATGTTCGAAGCCTTGCGAAACTTCGCCAACAACTCCGAGAAGCCCTCAACCCTAACACTCTAATCCCTAAACGCTTAAGCCCAAGTACCCTAAACCCTAAACCGTAAACCCGTAAACACTTAAACCCAAATCCCCTAAACCCCTAAACCGTAAACCCCTAAACCCTTAAACCCAAAACCCTAAAAAACCCTAAACCCCTAAACCATGAACCCCTAAACCCTTAAACCCAAAACCCCACAAACCCTAAACCCCTAAGCCGTAAACCCCCAAATCCCCTGCACCCGAAACCCCTAAACTCAAAGCCTAAACCCTAAAACCCTAAACCCTAAATCCACCAAACCCAAAACCTCTGAACTACCCTAAACCCAAAACCCAAAGCCTAAACCCTAAACCCCTAAACTCAAATCCTAAACCCTAAAACCCTAAACCCTAAACCACTAAACTCAAAGCCTAAACCCCAAATCCCCCAAACCCCCAAACCCCTAAACTACCCTAAACCCAAAACCTCTGAACTACCCTAACTCAAAACCCTAAACCCAAAGCCTAAACCCTAAAACCCAAAACACCTCAACCCCTAAACCGTAAACCCTAAACCCTAAAACACCTAAAACCCTAAACCCCCAAAAGCCCTAAACCCTAAAACCCCCCCAAAACCCCCCAAAACCCCCAAAACGCCCCCAACCGAGCCCCGGAGGAGATCCTAAACCCTAAACCCTCAACCCTCAACCCTAAAACCCTAAAACCCTAAAACCCTAAACCCCCCAAGAACCCCCAAAACGCCCTAAAACCCGAGCTGCGGAGGAGATCAAGAGCTGGGCCTGGGAGGCCACGGACTCGCTCCTGCGCCTGGCCCTAGCTTCTCGGATGAGGGCTTTAAGGGCATTTAGGGTTGGGGTTTAGGGTTTAGGGTTCAGGGTTCAAGGTTTTAGGTTTAGGGCTTTAGGGCTTTAAGGCCCTAAACAAAAAACCCTAAACTTAGGGTTTAGGGCTTTTAGGGTTTAGGGTTTAGGGTTTAGGGGTTTAGGGTTTTTTTAGGGTTTAGGGTTTAGGGCCAAGTTTAGGGTTTAGGGTTTAGGGATTTAGGCGTTTAGGGTTTAGGGCTTTAGG